AAAAAAAAAAAAAAAAAAATAATAATAAAAATATTGACTTTGAAATTCAAGATCAATGATAGCTACGGACAAACTTTTTTTTCCCACCCTGTACAAGCTCGACGCTTTTCTATACGAAACGAAGTTTCTACATCCCATACGTTTACAGTTAGGCCGGCGCGCACCTCGTAACAATTTTACGCGTTGCAAAATGAAATCGCGCGACGCCGTTTGCACGCGAAACTGCTTTAATAAAGCTGCGTTGATGGGTGGCTGCGAATTTTCCGCAACGCGCCGCGTATATGTAAATTCCAAAGCCGTTACACCAAAGTGAAAACAATAATTTTTGCATTTAATTTCATTTCTCTCGTTTAATCGCTCTGTCTTAGCCAGCGAACAAATTATTCCATTTCTCCCTGTTCCGTCGCGCGCGCTCGCAATTTATTTCACGCGAGGTGACCATCGCGCGAATTGCACGTTACGTTTTTCGCGGTTTTATTAGGATCTCCCGGCACCAGGTGAAACGCAGATCGGAACGCAGTTTCGGTTGATATCGTTTGTTTGTTTCCCCGTTATTCCGCAGATGGCCGCGATACCATTTGTTCGATGGTAATGGAACTCTGTTTATCTGCCTGTTCATGGGTTTATCAATAACCCAGAATCGATTCGCAATGGGGAATCGCGAGTCGGGCCGAATACAACGAAGGCGATCCGATGAATTCTTTTTCTTTTTCCTCTCTCGAGGAAAACAAACGAGCGAATAAAGCCGTAACCTTCGACGCGGCTTTATGCGCTCGAGATTTCTAGATGGACTCTCTCGGATACTTCGCGAGAACAACCTTGTTATCGATTTCTGTCGTACGTCGACGATGTTTCTTCCTGCGACGCTTGCACGAACGTGAAGCACAAGGCGAAACAGAAAAAGCTCGGCGTGTTAAAATTTACAACCTTCCCCGTTCGAAAGGCCGAACAACTTCGCGAGCACGGCATAAAATACTGGGACGTATTGCCCTTTCCTCAGTCGTAATTAAAAGCCTCGGCGAAACGACTGTGTCGTTCACTCGACACTGACAGCCGTTCGAAAGTCAAACGTCTTGTCCTTCTTGCCATGACTCGACACGAAACGATTTACGATTTACATTCGGCGCACGTCTTGGGCTTGCTTCCTTCTAGGTTAGAATCTATTTGGCCGAGATACACAAATATCACCTGCCTGCGCTTACGTTTGCGAGTCTCGCGAGACGTACCTCTGCGGTTCGCAACGATGCCTCTGGTATGCCACCGTCGCTGGCACCTGCAACAAAAAGCGAAGCACCATCTGGTTAGCCAGGTGATCTCACGTCGTGACTTTGGGAAATTCTGGGGAATCGAAATTTCAATTTCGTGCTCGCGGGGCGGGAGTTTTTTTCATGGGAAATCTTGACCAGAGATTGAGTAGTTCCTAGTTAAGCCTCCCAGTTTGGGAGGTGTATTTTATGAACACCGAAGGAAAGAGGGGATGCACGTCAACTGTTACACCGATACCAGGCACTAATATCGGTATTATATTCAGTAGTGTCTTAACAAGCGTCCACAGTCGAGGCCAAAAGCTTAATATTAAACCTACCACGGTCAAATAATAAAACCGTTTTTAAAATTTCGTTTAGAATTTCTTACATAACGTTATTGTATTGCCATTTAACCTCACGACTTTTTTTATAGTATAATATAGTACAGTACAGTACAATACAGTACAATAAAATACAGTATAGGACAGTACAGTACAATACAGTACAATAAAATACAGTATAGGACAGTACAGTATAGTACAGTACAGTGTAATACAGTACAGTATAGTGCAGTACAGTAGAGTGCAGTACAGTACAGTATAGTAAAGTACAGTATAATACAGTACAGCATAGTATAGTACAGTATAGTACAGTAGAGTGCAGTACAGTACAGTATAGTACAGTACAGTATAGTACAGTGTAGTACAGTACAGTATAGTACAATACAGTATAGTATAGTACAGTACAGTATAGTATAGTACAGTACAGTATAATACAGTAAAGTATAGTACAGTACAATGAATTTTTCAATATTTACTCCTTTTCTTATTGTTTGTTTTCTGAGAAAAATATGTAGTTTGTTTTACCTGTTACTTATGACTGGTCTTATCATTTATGACGAGTTGAACGATTTATAGTTTTTTGTAATAGTATTCTCTCGAAGATTCAATTCTGAAACTATAAAGTCGTTACAAATGAAAGGTGATGCAAGTGTGACATGACTTTAGTCGAAAACGTAATGATACATGATCCAAAAGAGCTGCGATAATTCGGTGTATCTTGCAAATTGGGACCAAATGAAAATAGAAATGAGCGTTAATAATTACACCGATACCAAACACGTGCGACGAATTCCAATATTATTTGCTACATTATTTCATTGCACGGAAATTTGACATTCTAACATTTTATTTAAACTGAATACGTTTAAACTATTTTAAATTTAATGCGTGCTTTTGAACTAAATGAAGTAATAAATTATAATGAAAGCAGTAATGATCAAATGACTGTAATTAATCTAAATTTCTCGAAAATTTATTGAACACCTGTAAAAGCAACTGTTAATCAATAATTATCAATAATTGAAGGGAAACTTTCAATAAAGGTTTTGTTACATTTTCATCAATAAATAAATAAATAAATTAACGATACACATGGTATGATTCTATAATTGTATTAATACATGTAAATTGGATGTGTATTTGTTATTTAATATAAAATTTGCCTCACTCTGATTAATGTGTGCCCGAAACAATCACAATGTCCCGAAATATCGGTGTCACGTATCGCTTGTTTCGTTTCATGTTTCACGTGGTCGAAGCGTAAGGTGGAAATTGTCCCAGTTTCAAGAATTGGCGGACGCTTAAGTGGGCACTACTGTATATCGTATCTATGGGGAAAAAAAAATATGGGCCAGCTTTTTTTTTTTTTTTTGTTCTTTCCGAACTATGAGTAGAAATAGCTTTGAAATAGTCACCAGTTGGAATGGATGTACGCGAGGTATACATCGATAGATTTAGAAAAAGCGGTTACGTCGCATTGTTACCGAATCAAATACCGATAGAAACATCGAAAGCTCAATATATATCGGCATCCGATCTCTGGTTTCAACGCGGATTAAACATTAAAGCGATGGAATGGAATACAAAGGGCGGCGCGCGAAACTGCGAGAAGAATCGGAGTGAAAAACGAAGGAGAGCGCGGAGGGCGGTGGATAGAGGGCTAGAGAAACGTGAGACAGAGTGAATGCGACGGGAGAAAATAGAGAAAACCCGTGGAGTTTCAAGGGGGAGGGGAGAAATCTGCACCCGAGAGCGGAGAGATTTTTTTCAAGCTCTCGCCGGAGAGTAACTCCCTTTCCCGGGATATGGAAACAAGCCATTTTTTTTAGATTCGTGTGTCGCTCGTCGTAATTAACTCGGCGGAATATTAGGCGGTTGGTTTTTCGTTCGTCCCCGTGTGACAAATACACGCGTCACTTTTCTCCCGCCGGGATTTTGCAGCTTGGCCGCTTTCAACCAAACTCGAAACTTTAATTATCTGTTTGCGTTTGGCTCTCCTTTCAGGAACGTTCCCCCCCTTTCGGCATTTTTGACGTTCGTTGTCGTTTTCGTTCGTCCTGTTCTTCTCTCTCTGTCTCGTCGTTATTCGCGGTGACACTGAACGAACGATAAGGGATCGAATTTTGGACTCTGGCAAACATTTTCGAGCCCATTTGGAATGGCCAGATTGCCACAGTACGCGGTTAACGACGGCTAATTACACCGTGAGATTGCGCGTTTATCGAGCGTCAGTCTTGTCTCGTTCGAACAAAGGTTGTATAATCTTTTTTAATTATCCCCTTGCAACGTGATATTGCGCCCGAATCCTCACCAATAAATAAGCAGCTAGTTTACGCTGGAATTAATTTCGCCGGAGCGAGAAACTCTGCGTTTCGAGAGCGAAAACGTTAAATAGCTGCGAATTTATCGCGATATTTTCAGACTATTTCTCGATGAATATACAACAATACGATCGACGGCGACACGACGTTTCTGCTCGGATTACGATCATATGATTCGAGAGGGGAGCGCTGAATCCTTTTCCGGATATTTATTGAAATACGTTGCCGTGGAATTTTTAAGCTTGTCACGCGGCTGCTGGAATGTTGAATTAAAATTCTCACGGAATCGTGCAACCTACCAGTGGATTTTCATACGGATTTAATTCCCGTAAGCCAGCTCACGTTCGAGTTCGAATATTCCAGACGAATCTTCTGCCAACGATACGCGAAATAAATCTGTCTTTGATGTTTCTTATCGTTCGGCGATCTCGCTTAGATTGCTCTAATTGTTCGAGGAACGAAGAGGCGCGATGCTTTTCGGTTCCGTTGTGAACCTCGAGATAATAAGTCGGTGCTGAAAATTAATTCAAACAACGTAACGAGATAACGCCGGGTGATAAAATTCAATTTTATCATCGCCCCTTCGTGAACTCTGGCGCGCCGGTCTTGCTCGAAAATATTTCTCGAATCTTTGTTGCCGTCCTCTAGCCCTTTCCTAACTGTTGTCGCTCGCACTACTCCGTTTTCACATCTCTCATTTTTGAGATAACTATAACAGAGGCGAATTTCTTCCCCGCCTGCTAATTCATCCATCACTCTACTTCGCAGTAGGCCATGCAAATTACTTTCTTCCTTGAACTTTAGCAACTATAGTGTCGCAATTTATACGTGTACGTGTAACGTGGCAGAGACACTTTCAGTGCAGTGGAAGGGATAGCGATCAGGAAAGTGGGGGTAAAGGCCGCCAGTTAGCCACCTTTATATTATTTTACAATGAAGTCACTTTTGAAATATGAACAACGAATGGAATCCTATAATAAGCAAAAATTTCTCTAGCTGCCACTACAAAGAAATGTTTAATTCGTCCTAATTTGATTAATCTCGTAATTCCATTCATTTCATTGTCATTTAGTTAGTTCAGTGTAATTTCATATTACTGTGTTACAGTTTGTACGTGTATACCATGCTTTGGTATTGTATACTTTTATAAATTATATTTATACAATATTTATACAACAAGCGAGTGAAACAAACACTGACTATTATTAATATTAGCAATAACAATGAATTCATTCGGGAAAATTTGAACACGGACGAGAGCGATAGCGATAATGATGCAGTGATGCATAAAATAAAGCGCGTTAGACGAAGTTAGATTATCATCAGATAATGAAAGCGATGATGAAGAGATATATTCAAATGATGCACTAGAAAATATGAAATGGACGTCACGGTTAATAACGTTGAAAGATCAATTTCTCGATAGGTAAAGGAAATACTGGTCACAAAACTGACAGATTCTTTTTTCTTATATTATTTAGTGTTACAATAAGTTAGAAACAGAATTTTTTATTAAAAAAATTTAACTTGATTATTAAATTAAAATTCTAACTTAGTTCATTAATAAAATTTAACTTAATAAATAAAATTCATTTAATTAAAAGTTTAACTAAATTTCAGTAAGTTTATTGGCTTTCCAGACCACATTTACATTTTCTACAATCCATTTGTTAGAATCATTCTGTAGTTA